GAAGCTAGCAACAGCATACGACTCCGTGGCGCAACGGTAGCGCGTCTGACTCCAGATCAGAAGGTTGCGTGTTCAAATCACGTCGGGGTCAAAACATTTTTTGTTTTTTAAATCATTTTATTCTAAATTGTATTATTGCAAACCGTAACGAGAATTAATTTGAAATAATTAAATTAATTAGAAATAATTTTCAATGTATATAATTGCAAAAAAAATATCGCCCCCGGGTGGGCTCGAACCACCAACCTTTCGGTTAACAGCCGAACGCGCTAACCATTTGCGCCACGGAGGCACTTGAACTGCCTGTCCCTTGTAAGTGCATTTACTATTCATTACCCGCTTTTCACAAGATTTTCTTCATAAATCGATTAGCAAATTTAATTTCAAGTCTTAAAGAAAAAAAATGCGAAAACCGTATTGCACGTTAATTCTGCATTTAATCCTACGCATACGTTAATGCCTGAATAAAAATTTTAACAATAGCTGCAATAATTTATTAATCTACGATGAATAATTGAGCGAAAAATCGATGTAAAAATGAAAATTCTTGCGACGGATTTAACAGCAGAGAAAGGAAAGCGGATACGTTTCTAGATAGCGTCAGGTAACGTCAAGTGGATTTCTTTCCTGTTTAACGCAAATGTAGCTTATGTATTAATTACGGAGGCATTTAGTATTGAACGGCGAGAATGCGGGGCGGTGAAATCAAACGAAACAATCACCGTGCGGCGAGTTGCAAAATTCTTTCGGTCTTCCCTTTCTTTCACGCCTTGACATTTCGCCGGGTGCATTCACCTAATGCACCGCAGTCTTGTGTACGCCTACCTAGCCGGCGCATCGCCGTGCGATAGAGCTGCTCGCTCGCCCTTTGATGAATCGATGCACCAAGGGGAAATGTCGGCTCGCCGATGCGACATTCGCGGGCAATTGCGCGACCGCTGGGGATCTTATGCAAGTGCATTCTCCGTGGGTAGAGCCGATTCGTTATGGAGTTGCATTCGCGCGAGAATAGAAAGGTATCGGCTGTGACACCGTAAATCCGCGAATCGACTCTCGGTAGCAGTTTATTGCACCCTTGGCAGACTGACACTCGGTAGGATTTATTACGCTTTCTACGCATTATGGAAAAACGTAAAAAGTACCAAAGAGTTTTTTTTATCTCGGAGCCAGATATTTAAATTATCCCATGAATGATAATCTATCTTTGAAGATGTTATAAAATACCAGTTGAGAAAAGTCCTCTATTATGAAATAGGATTCTAATGTGAGATAGTAGGTTTTTAACGACCAAATTCAATCACAAATCTTTTTCGCAATCGATTACGCGATCTGATAATCAATTTTCCACTAAACAGATTTCACTCCAAGGGCAATAAATCCATGGTGGAGCCAACAGATGCCTATTAATTTTGCAGAAACTCCGCTATCTCATAATAGGGGACTTTCCTCTATACAATATACATCTTCCCTTCTCTAATTACATTTTTATTTGCGATATGCATATCTATAATCATTTTTTTATTTATTCGAAAGCCAGACGTTTTTGTACCATCAATCAAAATTTGCCTACAAAGATCGATAAGCTCTCGAGATATCATTAATAATTCTATTATTCGATAAGAAGATAAGAAAATTCCGTTATCTTAGCAAAATAACATTTTCGCTGAAGCATCTGCAATCCCGAAATGCAAACGAGAGACACGTTTTATTTGATCTTATTGCGTAACGTAAACGATTTGTGGGTAAAGTGGACACGGTAAAGGGTGGAGGGTCGTGAATTAAGGGGGTATTATCATTTACTCAATTTGCTGCCGGTGCGCGCTCGTTGTGCCTTGTTATTTCGTGTTAGAGAAGTGCGAAGATGTTTATCGGTTGGCGGAAGCCCCCGATTATCGTATCTGACACAGCACGTACGTACTCTATGTATGTACTCTATGCACGCTGTCGGGAACGGCTAAGTGCTACTTCGTGAGTCACTCGTTAACTTATTACAACGGTGTTGATCCTCGGTCGTTTCTGCGATGCTGAAGCGCGACGTTGTGATTGGCAAATCGCGGCCCATCACGGCGACCTAACGCCATAACACGAACCTCTGCATATTTTATCGGCGAGCGATTTACTCTCGCATCCGCCCCCCGTCATCTTTTCGCGTTCGTACCGGGCGCGCGTCTGTTTTCCGGGCAGATCCTCAACAACTGCTTCGTGCGATCGTAGCGCTTATCGAGCGAAATTGCGGCTCACGCTGCAACTCGAAAGCGACTCACGATGGCTATTCTATACTTTGTAAAGACGAGCGATTTGCCATGAAATTTTACACGTGTATTGACAATGTATCGGAAGATATTATTGGAGGAATATTACGTACGATTGTACGCAGCGTGTATCTCGGAATATTATCGCTTCAGCATATCGCTCGAAAAATATTTTTGTATTTATGTAAGAACCGAGTCTTGTTATTATTGCCATATGAAATCTAGAGATTTATACTTTTACACTTCTGTGTGCGTTGTTAAGTTATGAAAACGATGAAATTCGAACTCGCAGTTCGTGAACGAACGGTCTATAGATAGGCGGTTGGTAGTAACACGAGGCCGTCGGGGGATTCACAGTAATAATAATTATTATTATAACGATGATGATAGCAATAATACAAATAATAATATTAATAATAATAGTGGTACTGGTACTAAATCGTAATAATAATAATAATAATGACACATGTATCTCTAAAAAGAAGACAGAGAGAGTCGAGCTACTTACTACATAGTTTATCGGGATGAGTTTATCAGGTGTCGTAGTGGTGTGTCATTCTCGGATGGGACACAGAGGGGGGGGGGTTCCATAAAGGAGATGAGAGATATTGATCAAGGGATGGGGGGAGGGGCAGAGTTCGTCCCCGCGGACAGATCGCAATGTCCGCGGGGACGAACGGGAATGTCGCTCGGAGCCAGGCCGAGCCGCATCCCGTGATGGACCGCCGCGTGTTCTCCGTCTGCCGTCTGCCGGGACGCCGGATCGCGGGCGTCGATCGTCGCGTATCGAAGGTACGATCGATACGCGGTGTCGTTCGCCCGTGTCGCGGCATCCGGTAACACGCGATCGTCCCGCGCTCCCGGAGATGCGCTACCGAGATCGTAGTGCGCTGTCGAAGATCGGACAACTCTACCCTATAGAAAGATCGATGGGGGTCGATGGGATCGCTCTTTCGCACTCTCTCTCTTAATTTTTCTCCTCTCTCTCTCTCTCTCATTCACACTGTGCGGTACTTACATACTTTTCGGATTCGACTCGCTGAGAGTGCTGCTTACTCTGGTTTTCTCATTCTCGCTCTCTCACAAGATACACACGCACGCATATACACACATTCTCTCTCTCTCTCTCTCGCTTCCGCTCCTGTTGTCTCGCGACGAACTCGTGCCCACGTCCCGGTGGCCAGAGACGTCGATGCCTGAGCTCGTCCCGATCCTTAAGAGGAGCAGTCCTCTCCTTACTCCTTCTCCTCGAGATGATGCTGCTGCTGCTGTTGCTGCCGCGCTGCTGAGGTTACTCATCAATTAAATTCTCCCCGCGCCGAGATTTACTGCTCGGGCTTCGGGAGCAATTCCCCCAGCTTAGGCTTGGCGTCCTTCTGCTCCTCGGAAGACTTGTCTTCTTCGCTGCTCTTGATCTCCTTGCTGTCCTCAGCGGACTTTTCTTCGGAGGAGTCATTGGAGCGTTCCTTCACTTCTTTGGCGACTTCCTGTTGCTGTGGCTGTGGCTGTGGCTGCTGCGCCGGTTGCGGCTCCTCCGCGGCCGGAAGTTCCGACTTGACCTGAGGCAGCTCGGCCGCATCCCGTTTGGTCTGGCTGGATTCCTGAGGCTGCACGGGCTGTTGCTCCTTGGCCGCCTCCACTTGTTGGACAGGAGAATCAGCACTTTTTGCTTCCTTTTCAGCCTCCTTTTCGACAGCTACCTCGGCTACCTTCTCCTCGCTCTTGATAGCTGGCTCCTCGACTTTGACAGCCGGCTGCTCGGCGGGCGCCGTCTCTAGCTGCTCGCTCTTCTCAACCTTCTCGCTCGTCTCGGCGGGTTTCGGCTCCTCCACCGGCGCAAGTACTTCCGCTATGGCCTGCTCGGCCTCGGCGACAGGCGCAGATTTCTCCTGCGACTGAGCCGGTTCCTGAGCAGCGGGGGCTGCAGCTGAGGCGGCAGCGGCGGCGGGGGCGGGGGCGGATGCGGCGGATTCTTCAGCGTCGCGCTTGGTTACGCGGTCGGGCTTGTCCTCGATCTTAGCGTGGGCAAGCGAGTGACCCTCAGATTCCTTCAGTTGTTCGACGGCCTTCGCTTCAACCTTCTTGTCCTCGGTGGCGGCGACTGCGGGAACTTCCGCGGACTCTTCCTTCTTCGGGGCTGGCTGTGCCACCGGCTCCTCTAGCTTCTTCTCCTCTTTCGGCTCTTCCTTAACGATTTTCTCGACAGCGTCGTCAGCGCGCTTCTCGATGGCCACGGGTTTCTCGGCCGCGGGTTCGACCGTCTCCGCGCTCTTGCCTACTTGTTCCTCCTGAAAAACACCCAAGATTAGAGGATGAAGCTTTACTTGAGACAAAAAGCAACGTGGAGGAAATAAAGGAAATTATTTCATCAGGATGAGAAACCTACTTTTTTCTCGATCGGAACTTCGACCGGTTGTTCCTGCGGTGCAGGCTGCACGGACTCCTTCGTTTCGGATGGCGCTTCCTTGAGGATTTCTTGCTCCTGTTTCTTCTCGGCTTCGGCGGTAGGCAACACCTTCGGCTCCTCCTTCTCTTCGAGTTGTTCCTCGGAGGGGCTGGGCTGCGGTTGAGCTTCCTCGGACACTGCTTTCGGCTGCTCCGGCTGCAGCGGCTCGTCCTTCTTCGCCTTGACCGGTTGAGCTTCCTCGCTAGCGGACTCGCTGCTCCTCACGGCAGGCTCGTTAACCGCGGCGGGTTGCTCGGCCGCTGGCTGTGCTGGCTGGCTAGCCGCCACTGGTTCCGCGGGTGCGTTGCTCTGCACGGCCCCCGAAGCCGTCTCTGCCGCCTTCAGCGATTCCACCGCAGTCTTCTCCTCGAGAGGTACAACCGGCTGCGGCTTATGGCTCTCGTGGTGCTCGGCCACTGGCATCGCAGCGATCATCTTCAGCCCCAAGAGGCACACCATCGTTACCACAGCGAATTTTATCATTGTGATATCTGCAAAAGAACGCTCGGTGTTAGGCATGCTCGTTGCTGAAATATTACATATTGTGGCATTAATCTGAATGCTTTTAACTTAAAAAAAAGAGTCGCAGGAAAAATCTTTACGCGGTGGCTTGAAATATCCGTGAATATAATTCTCGCACGACAAATTATCCCCTTGTGATTATTATATTGCAATTAAGATAAATTATCACGAATGTTATAATTATTTATTTATCCTCTTATATGTAACAAAACTCGTTCGAATCTACACACCGAGGCAACAATGCACAATCTTCTAGTTAGACGAATAGACGTGAGGGCAGACTGTCGTCGTGACAGCTCGGGATGAATGGTCGAGACGAACATATGAATGGACCCGGTTGTAGATCGCGAGACGAAAGGACAACAACTGTGATTGTTAATGAGACGAGGAGAGGGCTTCGGAGGGAGAAACGGTAACATCGCGCTGGGTGCTCGTATCGGGGGCTGCCGCGAGAGAATCGGCAGGAAGGAGAGGGACGGGTGACATTGAACCGAATGCATCGAACAAGGCGAACGTTATGGAACTAATGACAGGATGCGTGCCCCTCACGCTCGTTACGTTCACGCGCTCACGTTTACGTTCAATTTCTCTCTCCGTAAAATGTAGAGAAGAATATGCTGTGGCGTCTCACACGGACTTTCATTGTACGCGGGATGAACGAGGCGTTAAGGACTGGTCTGTCATGCGTGTCTCGAAACGAACGCTTTACATATATGAAGTCGGAAGTCGCGAATTTTTTAGTTACGAGCGATTAACGGTGTAGATCGGAACTCTTGTCAGTTTGAGTAGACCCCTGCGTTGACGGATTTCTACTTTAAACAGGTACTAGATCTGCGTTCATAAAGTGTGAAGCGCGTTGATTTATTTCTAAATATCGGATTGGACTTGGTTCGCGCTTTTTTTTTAATTGTCGCGTGAAGCATATAATAAATTTACGTTGTAAATTCTGCTTTGTGATCTTCGCGTCGCAAAATACATTACCGCGAGCGCAACACTAGACCATTCTGCATTCGCGCGAGTAGGCGTACGTGAAACCGGAGACAAACGACACGGTATTTACGCGTCATCGAGTTGGCGCGGCCGGATCGGCGTGCGTTAACGCTCGAGTTAAGCGCAGTCACTGCGACAGGAGCAATCGTTTTTCCAGTCCGACCTGCCTTTTGCGTAGATCTCGCCGATTAAGCGATTCATTAATCAACTCGATGAAAAAGAAGTTATCGCAGAAGTTTATGCTTAGCTTTAAGTTTGCGACGAGCCTCTTAGTACCGACTAAAAGTCAACCTTGAGACGAGTTCTCGATGCGAATTTAAAACTTTGCGAGCCGTGGAAGAAATATTACAACTCTGCATTTAATTAGCTGTAATTGGAAGAGTCGCGCGGCATGAATTATTCTCGAGTCCCGCACAGATTCAAATCGCTCCTCGAGAGCGGAGGCTGCGCTCGTCGTACGCCTCGTGGAAACTGTCTGGTTGCGGCAAACCGGAATGCACTGAGAGTCGATAGGGATGGCGAGAAATGGCGACGAAGTAGCAACGGAAACAACGAGGCGTAGCTGCGGAGAATTAGAACGGTGCGGGAGGCTGCGAAAGGATTCAGTGTTTACGGCGAGATCGACGAGGGTTCGCGTTTGGCAATGCAATTGCAACGTTGCCTTCTTGCCGAAACCGCTCTGTGTCGCGATAGAAAGCGACAGAATTAAGATCTTCTCCTCTTTTATCTAGAATCGCAATGCGCGTTCGCGTGAAAGCGGGAATTAAATGAGGAATCTCCTTTTATCTACAATTACGTAAGCCGATTCTGATTCCCATAATGCAATCACCGGGAGTCGCCTTGTTTCGATAGATAAATTGTAAAGAATCTGCGAGTTCCTTGTGACGCGCAGCTGAAGTTTAAGTCTCCAAATATTTGCATGGAATTAAGTCCATGGCGGATATAATTACACCGGATGCGCGGCGACGGTGCGTAGTCGCAATAAACTTAATTGCGAGCCAATTCAAGTACCATAGCCGTCGACTTATTGTCCGTACATCACACGGACGTGTCTAGTTAATTATTTCCTACACGACGGTTACGCGAGAACGAACGACACGGACGCGTGTTCGCCGATCTCGCTTGTCGATGCAATCTTCCGTTCTCCACGCAACGCTCGAATGGGGGGGAAGTAGAGAAAAGAGGAGAAAAGGCAGAAGGGAGAGGATGAGATTTCGACGAGGTTGACGACGCGCGTTGATCGCACCGCGAATACAGATAAGTGCTCGGCGGCCAGGTCGATAGACGCAGGAAATGCCTGTGAAAGATGATGGACGCCGATTACCTCATCAAGATCATCAGAGGTGTAATAATGGTACCACACTTACAAAGAAGTGTCGCGCGCGCGCCATCAAGCGTTCCAGCGTCAATGATTATAGCCTTCTGCTCTCTCTTTCTCTCTCTCTCTCTTCTCTCTCTTCTCTCTCTTCTCTCTCTTCTCTCTTTTTCTTTCCTTCTGGCCTTTCAGCTTCGCGGTCTTTTCTGATTGCGGCGTGTTGAAAGTCCGCTCTTCTAATCTGAAGCCGCGAAACTGCTCCGTTTAATTTGCAATCGCGTGAATTTTGCTCGCGTAAGTGCGAAAGTCACGAAATTTATTCCTATCTGATTCAAGTTGAGTCTGCCTTGTCTTGGCATGGGGAAGGTTCTGTCGATTTCAAATAGAGATTCGGTGCACGTTCGACGTTCGCCGATTGCGAAGTTGCCGGGAGGGCGGAAGACGGTCGCCGGTTGGCGACCTCGAGTCGACGTCGCGGCGCAGGTAATTCGCAGATTGACAGATTAAGCCTGCTAATTAGGGGAGCGCGCCGTGAAAGGGGGACGTGAAATTACGCAAATGCGCGCGGTTGCTCCTTGAGAAATCTACAAATTATGTGTATAACGACGACGGAGCATAGCCTGCACGCGAACGACGCGCGTTTCCTTGCTTCGACCTCTTCATTTCTCTTTATTAACCCTTTAGCTGCGTCGCACATCCAACGAGATAACTTGCAATGAGATAATGTAACTGTGTAATTGCAGTGCATTTCTGCCTTTGTCGATAATTTTAAACAAAAAGGCACTCTTGCGTGTATCTGCATGTCGCAAGAGTTGCTACAAATTAGACAAGAAAAGCTTGCCTATACGTTAGACATATTTGAATGCATTAGAAATGAATGATTGCCATAAGAAACATACTATAAATTATAAAAATCGTAATATTAGCGAGATTTTTACTTTTTATTTTGATTCCTTTCGATTTCTGTGATTTCTCTCGCGGAATTACACTTAAAATGAAAAAAAGATATTTTTATATGATTCTTAGTCGCTTCCTAGTATAAAATGACGGCTTAATTGCGAGCGGATTGCAATCTTCTTTGATAACTAAGGGGAGGACGTTCGTCGTGGCATTTATCGTCGCGTGCTATTTCGAAAATCCACGTTTGCCGCGCCCCGACTAATTGAACGAACGGATACAAGCGCGGATGGCGAACAATGGCATTATCGTGCTCCACTTTCAAAACTGTCTGTCGCCGTCGCGACGAAGCCGCGACTCGGCACCGAGTCCTACGCGTATTGCGAAAGAAATGCCGCTAGCTGCGAGCCACGAGAAAAGTCTCCCGCGCACAAACGCGAAGCTAATAATCGTGCCGAGTCCAACCAACCGCGTCTGTCGACCGCACATGTCACTGCGACTCGAGCTTTCATCGACCGGTTCCGATTGTCGACTTCCAGCGGAATCTATCACATTAATAACTCGTTTCGGAGCTGAGCTACGGAGGGAGGTAGCTTCGTAAGGGATTAAAAAAATATATCAACTAACATGTCAGAATTGAAAAAAAGATTCACTTAATATTTACTACGTAATCAACTACCAAAGGAGAGTTTTCATGGAGGGAAGGATTTGGTTCGTGCGATGTTAATTGTCAAAGTTCGTCGAAGTAACCCGTGCTTTGGTCGATCGTTCGAAATTTCGAATCGAAATAATCCATGGTGCGATCGATAGGTCAGATAGATCGAAATAATATGGGTCTTTTTACCGCTAGACAGAGCTCGAGGGGTGGTAAAAGTCTACGAAAGAGAACAGAACTGTGTACTCACGTCTTTTTCTCTGCTCCGTAAGCGTTGAAACTCTTGCCAGTCGAGTCGGCGTCGGGCACAGCGGCGATCTCCTCTTCGGCTTGTCTTGCTTCTGCCTCGCGGATCAGCTCTCACCGGTTCGCGCGAACTTCGATCGGGCGCGATCGATCGGAAAACGAAAGAACGCGGGGGTTTCCTGTCTCTGTCTCTCTTTCTCTTGTCTTCCCTCTCGTTTTTTTCGCGCGCGTGCGATTACGCTCGTTTGCGAAGGACCGTTGGCGATCGGGATGAAGGTTGGGTCGTGTGTCGAGATGGAATCGCCGGGGCCCCGCTTATATACCCATTTACCCACCCGTGCTGACGGCCAGGATCGTGCAAGGGGGCCCCGACCCTCCTCGCCGATCGAGCCACCGGGAGGGGCCTCTCTTTTAGTCTTCTCTTCGCCGCCCTTCTTGGACTCTACCTACCTTTTCTCCCTCCCCGTTCTGTACCTCCTCTCTTTTTCTTCCTCCTACACTGCTTCTCGCATTTCTACCTCTCTCTCTCTCCCTCCCTCCCTCCCTCTTTTTCTCGCTCTCGCTCGCTTCTGCCTGATCTTGGCTTACTCGCCGATTTCTTCGCTCCTTTCTGTTCCGGACCACGATGTCTACACCTCGGTACCTCGTGCTCGGTTCGTCGAGATCTTCGGGACGGATTCGTAATGTGGCTCGCGTGTTGCTGACCCAATGGGATCACGCCTTGAGCGAGCTTAACCCTTTAACTGCGAACGTTGTACATTCAGTAAAAAGCAGGAATTTCACAATAGGCGACCGACTGAAACTTCCTATTATTACTTCGTAACCTTTTGTATACTATGTTGATTTATATACAATTAATTATTTTGCGTGACGTTCCTAGATTATCTGGGATGATAATTAAAGGACAAATTGAAAGAACGTTACTTCTCGAAAGGGATCTGTACATGCCGTTTTCTATTTCACGATCGAAACTACTAATTAGATACTAGTTACGAAGTTCTTAACAACACTTAGAATAATGTTTATCATATCTGGTATTGAATCATCATCGAGTGTAACTAAGAACCTTGAAATATTTGTTAGGATTTCCTTTATCGTTTTCTTACGTGCAACTATTCAACGCTCACGGAATATAGTAATCTTTGGAAAGTTATAGCATTTTCTATATATGAGATTGTCCTTACTTACTACTGGTCGCTGTGGACGCACCTGCACACGTTGTATGCTGGCGTGACGTGTCGCGTTTGTGTTTTAAAAGCATTCATTTGGGATCATTCAATATATCGAGCGGAAGTACAATGGTAAAGCTACAGTACTGTATGGGAGAACCTTGAATACATTTAAACGAGTCAATAGACATTTGTCTTTCACTATTCGTAATGGATAATTGATTTGAAAAACCGCAAAGATTTTTAGAACAGATTTGCAATCGAGAAAATTCTTAAATATAATGCACAAAGCTTTTCTCACAAACATACTATGTTAAAGTCGAAAAATAGACGCGTAGACAACATCTTTATCTTGTTATTGCGACAAATATTATCATATGCCTCGGTGGTTGAATTGGTGAGACGCCCGCCTAGAGTGTAGGGAGGTCCATGTTCAAACCCTGGCTGAGGTAATATTTTCTGCATTGACAGAGAAACTAACAAATGTGGCCAGCTGTGGTCGAATAAAATTTGTAATTATACTATGTTCTATTTTAATAAAGTTACAATTTTTTGAGCGTATCACGTCAGTGCTCTAGAATTTTCTCATAAATTTAGGGTGGAATTCAGGATTAGGATTTTATTAAGTGATTCAACCTGTTGCTGCGCTTAACATTCTTCCCGACTACTAGATATAAAGTTATCGGCGACATAGCTTTTTCTTCTTAATTTGACCTGACAGATCTTGCTCGGCAAACTTTGTGTCGTCAGTATTGTATATGATTTTTCTCGTTCGCAGCGAAGATTCTCCTAATAAAATTAAATGAATCTTGCATGTACCCGCCATGCTTAAATCGCTGAAAGTGTGCGATCAATCTTCTTGATTCTTAAAAGGAGTAAAAAAGTTATATTTCCGCTATCGAAACACAAGAATGAAAAATATTTTGTGAAGTATTAGTCGACATATAATTGACCGGAAACTAAATTATTTTGCACTGTATATAAAAAGGAAACCGAAATTATCCGCGTTTAGAATTTCCCATTCAAAAGTTAATTTGCTTGACTAAATGTTATCAAAGACATAAATAAACATGACTCTTTCTCGTTGCTAGTTGTTCGTAAAGTACGATTTCAATTTCGTTGCGGATTTATTATGATTTGCGTCACGTCGGGACGCTCGTGCATCATTTTACGCATCGCGAATATGTTGCAAATTCGATAAACCGTGCGCCAACAGGTAAAATGGTTTATCTTCGTCTCTGTGACTCATCGAGGAACGCTCGATGAGTCGTATACGCGTGTGATACACGCGCCAGTGCGTATGTATGTACGGGAACTATTATGTAAACCGTCTGTTTACATGTAGTTCCGTCTCGTATGCATCCGACGCAATAATTCCCCATTGAAAATTTGCTGACCGTTTCGCCGAAATGTCGATTCAACTAATGGTCCACGAATTATTAGACCTGAGTCATTCGAACTTGCAATTAGTTTCTATCGAGTATTATTACTGAATAGAATAGACTATTATTTGCGTTTTAACGAAATTGAATTATATTTGTGATAACGAGTAATTACTTATATAAATCAAGCCGAATGAATAGATTTTATAAAAAATATTAAAATAGTATATTAAAATATTCCTATGTACACTAAATTAAACAGAATAATATACATCAATTATACATCATTATGAACACAATTATTCTCAGTTAATTGAATATTATTCAGTGTTCAATTTATTCTTTTCATAAAAACTTTCTTCGAGTCTCCAAAGATGATTTATCAAGATTTTTATTAACACGATTCTTACAAGTTCCATATATTGTAATCACCATTTCTAAATCATTCTTTAAACCACTGTTTGCACTCAATCTTTGCACAATCGTGCTAAATTTACTCGAGGTTACGGTTGGGATACCTTGTACATGATTTCTACGATTATCGTGGCTATTTAAATCACCTTTCGTATATTTATGACGTTTTCGTTGTCCCCAATGTTTACGATAAAATACGCACGGTATTCCTATTTCTATTTATGGCTCGTAACGTTTACATAATATTCGATATTGAATATTAAGGAGCGTAGTTTTCTACTATCTCTAAAATAGTTCTGTATCGAATACATCAAGCTGGAAGATCCGTTATTCATACGCTGATTTTCGCGGTCGATACATTCGTGAATAATTAACATGTGATTCAAATCGTAAATTATTCATGTTAATCTTGATGGTGCGTTATAGCTCATCCAAGTCGAGATCGATGACCTTTTCTCGCCTATTCATTACTACGATTGCTGTCGTGTCACAAAACTTTGGCGATTTGTTTCTAATGCTTCACAAATGGAGGAAAGCATACAGCATAAATGAATGTTGTATGCTTTTACGATTGAAAAGTGCAGTATTTTGTTTCTCAATTAAATCACGTGACTTAAGTTTCTCGGGAATTAATTAATAAATAAATTTTGTGCATCTATTTGTCGCAATTGTCAACCAAGAGTAAAATTCAACCGGTTAAAATGGAACGCGTAAAACACATTCTTCAGTATTATCAGCGCTCTTCTTTATGTATCTTTTTGTAGAGCAACATGCTCTCTTCCTGGGTTCTCGCAGTTGTTAGACGGTGGTTACTTTACAACTAGCGATTTCCAACCGTTACATACCGTTAGAATAATGTGCGTTTATTAAGTTTTGTTTGCGAAAAAATGGATTCTTCACACGTTTATACGTAGGCGCTTCTGCGCGTATCTGGTACGCTTAATGTACCAAGCCCCTTCAATTATTAGCACCAAATAAAAGCTTGTAATTAATCATTACGTGTTTACGTAATTAGTAATTATTTTTTATGTTTACTAACAATAAGAAAGATCAGTTCTGTATACGAAAATTTAAAAGAGTATGCGTATTTTGCTTATTTTTATCAAATAAGCGTAGAAGTTTTATAACAAAAAATAGACACGAAAGGAAATAGACTCTTTTTCAAAATGTACTACTCTCCTTTGATTACGAGATTGCAAAAAAGAAGATCGCGACAGTAGATACGCTGAAAGTCCCGGTATGATTCGTTTCTGTGGTATAATTATTGTAATGCTGATGATTATAGCGTAATCGCGGTTCTCCAAGAAAAAGTACATATGTACATGTTTTTACATTGGTTTTTATGGAGTTCTAGGCGCCGTTCCTTTGCCTTGTCTCTTTAACGGCACTAATTACGAGCGACGTCTGGCTCCGCGTGTCACGTAGAGGCTGGTAAATTTTGTGTATTAATTCCGGAAAGTGTCTTTACGCAAGCATCCGAAGGACGACAGTGACGATGATGACGACGACTACGACAGAAAGATGATTCTCGCGGTTGAATACACGAGGTTGAAAACGATATTCTATTTAAGTTATCGAATTGGGACAAGGATATCGGGTATATAAGGAAGAATGATAGAATTCTATGAGATTATCAAAGCCTCCCGCGCGAATAATTGAAGCCTCCGGCATATAATTCCGCATAATCAATTTTAATTTATGAATAAAAATATCTAAAAGTGAATATATTGAATACGTATAATAGAAACGCGGATATAATCAGAAATTATTGATTGCTACGTCAAATATATTAAATATATTAACTTTTGTAGAGAATATCTTCCAGTTACATTATTTTATACTTTTCGGAAACAAATGTAAGAAAAGAAAACCGAGAAAATTATGCAGAAGTCCAAATGTAATAGGATAGAGAGTAATTCTATATATTATATATTTTCACATTTAAATGACGACAATCAAAGGTCTCTTGATATTTCAATCGAGAGAAATTTCATCGACTCGTTTCCTCGCGATTTTCCGCGCAGAAATTCGTCATCCTGAAACACGGAGTACGCGAAATTCCCGTTAAATCAATCCGCCACACCACTTTGCCCTTTCGTCCCGTTGCCCGTTCATCCCCGGTGCACAATGCCGATTGGCACAGATGCGATTTTTCACGGTCCAGCACATGCATCGAGGACACACCGTCGGTGCGCGCATAAAGTCGGAATTTTATTACCTTGTATTACGGGAGTTACAGCCTGCGGTATTCCGCAGAAGCAACGATTTTGCCGGATGCCACGAACTTGATTTTCATCACACACACACACACACCACGGTCTGTGTTCCGCATTGTTTTATGTTATTC